AAATAAAATCTTTAAAAAAAAAAAAAAAAAGATAGTAACAGCCCCCACCCCACCCCAACAAAGGGCAAGAAGGTACTTACCCACATATGTTGTGGTTTGTCTTTCTGTTCTTTCCTGGACTGAGAACTTAAAGAAAAATAGTATTTTTTGCAAATAACTGAATTTCTTTGGAATGTAGTTTAAAAAATAGAAAATTGACTCTGCCTCCCAAGTGTAAGGCTTAAAGCACAGTTAGTATATTCTAGCACACATATTGTTAAGAGTCACTTCAGACTGAGAATAGATTTTGCATAGTTGAATCTATGATGTCAGAAAGCCTCAGTTTCAAAGAATGCCAAAACAGTGAAGGGGGGCTATCCTGTTCATACTTTTAAATGTTCCACAATGTTCTTCATTTAATCAGCTGACAGGTCAATTTGTGTTTTGAATATATATTGCCTGATGTTAACTGACCCTTGCAAATTAATGTTATGATCAGTGGGGGGTGGGAGAATGTTCCCTGGAATGCCTCCACTCTCAGAAAACACAAAAGTTATATAAAAGGCAGAGGAGGGTTTTGATTTACTTGTTTGTTTTATTTGTGTGAGAGAAAATGCAGTAGAATCAGGTAAGAACTGCTTCAGCCAAAAAAGTACATCAGTGACTGACTTTTTCTTTATTCAGTGCCATCTCCTCGTCCAGACAATTCTTTCCATGAAAATAATGTATCAACCAGAGTTTCTTCCCTACCATCAGAGAGCAGTTCTGGAACCAACCACTCAAAAAGACAACCAGCATTCGATCCATGGTGAGTATTTTGATTTGTTTTTACTCTCCTTTTTTCTAATTGTAGATTCGAGATTTCAAAGAATTCTGGATACACTTTTTAGCTTGCTTGCTTTCTCAAGAGAGATTGTTGATAAGGAAACTGATTTGTCATTATTTGTAATGGTTTATTTCAAGTTCAGCATTTATATTAAATATCGTGTAAAAGAAGAAAAAATCTGCTGGGTCACTAAATGCCTCATATCTCACATATCTTCCACTGCATTCTTCTGATAGGAATGCAGTCTTTCACTGTCTCTTTTGTTATTGTATCACAGAGCAGACACTTTGTTTAGCACTTTGTGTGCGCTGGCTCACTTGGTTCTCACGGTCAGCCTTTGGGGTGGGGGCAGCTCCCATTCCACAGATGAGGAAGCCGCAGCCTCCAAAAGGGAGAGCACTTGCCTGGCACTGGGCAGCCCATAGCAGGGAGAGGGGAGCCAGGATCTAGCCCTACATAGGGTCTGACTCCAAAGCTTATGTTTTTCACCTCTGTGCCACCTGACTTGCATTCAGGGTGAAAGGAAAGAAATGGAGGGACACCCTTTATGCTACCACAAAAAAACATACTGGTAGTCAGAGGCTAAAATGATGTGCCAGCTTTGCTTATCCTTTTATCTTCTTTGCGTCATATGTATTAAAAATTTAAGGAGAGTTATATCGAGTATTAAGTCTCATCAGAAGATCTGCCTAGGGAGTAAGGACCTTTTTAAAAAAAATAATAACATAGACTTGATACTCTCAGCTGCCCAAAGAGACTGCCCAGAATCTAGATGTGAGGGATGGTTATGTGTACTTCGTGAAACTACTAAGTTCTCTACTTGGAATAAAATGGTACATCACCGTAACATTGCGAATTTAGAATAGGGCCATTCTGTCAGATTCCAACTCTGGTGTTTATTGCTGGAAGTCACAGAAAGGTCTTAGGTCAGTCAGTAAGTACTCCTGACCCTGTGTGGTTGTGCAGCTTTCACCCTTTTGGCAGGGTTGTATCAAGGTTTTAGTGCTTCTGTGCCCTATGGTAAAAATAAGTTCATTATTTTTAAAACAGTAGTAAAGACAATGTTTTTAAAGCTATAAATATTTTCATAAGCACAGTTTATATCCATTGCCTTATTTATTAAATGAGAGTTTTAACATTAGTAACTAAGAGGTTGGACTCTGGAAATAGGACATCTTGATTAATGTCACCTTCTGTCTGTGTGACTTTAACCTCTGCCCCTCAGTTTCCTCATCTGTAAAAACAGGCCTAAGAATACTACCTCCCTCACAGGATTAATGTGATCATTAAATGAGGGAAAACATCAAAAGCACCCAGAGCAGTGCCTGGCACACTGTGACTTGTTACTGTTAGCTGCAGCAATTTTTACCACGGATGATGTCTTCTAACTTCAGTAGGACTTGTCACGTGTCTCCCCTCCACTTCCTTTGCTGAGAAACTTTGCTGCATTCTTTTTTTTTTTTTTTTAAAGATTTTATTTATTTATTTGAGAGAGAGAGAATGAGAGACAGAGAGC